TATTGGATATTAAGTCTGCTGATTACTGTTTATTAGGCTTGGGTCTCTTTCCAATCAATTTACAATGCAGGCTACAAGGTCATTGAAATGCACAATAGAAGTTTTTTTCTTTTAAAAAATCATGGAACTAGTTCACCTTATACATTTCTTTCAAACAAGGCTCACAGACTAGAAATAACATTTTGGGAATAACAGCTGGGATGTTGGTGAGCACAAGGAAAGGCACAAAGGGACTCCATTTCTTTTGCTTTCCCAGCCTTGCTTCAAAACTACACACTTCCCTACAGAAAGTTTGCATGTATTGTGTTATCCTACAATAGCTGCTTTTCCAACCTTGAGCTGTTTTAGTTATTAAGCTCAACAGGACCTTTCCCTGTCTGTCCTGATAATGTGATATCCAAATATTTTATATCAAGTGAAAGTTAGAGGAACCATAGCCCAATAGGTTGGGAAAGACATTCTTATAGAATACCTTTATTGTCATTGCATTCTACAAATACAATGAAATTTGAAAGCTACTCCAGTATAGTGTCCCAAACACCACATCACAATCACACTACAGAGTATTTAAAAATTAAAATAATTAAAATAATAATTAAAAATCTAGTCTAAAACCTATCTAAAACATATAGTAAGTTAGATAGTTTAAAATGTCACTATATACACAGGGCTAAATCACATATGCATTAATTGATTCAAGACAATTATTGTCTTGGAAAAGAAACTGTTTCTCCGTCTATTATTCCTCATTTTAAGGCACCCATAATGCCTCCCTGGTGGTAACAGTTCAAAATATGAATGTCCAGGATGAGAATGGATAATTAATCAGAACACTTTTAGGGGTCCAAGTAAATTAGGTCAATGAAATCACACCAATTCACATACATGTTGATGTGGTCAAATTTAAAAGGTTGGTAATGCAAGGTATGTATGTATGTATGTATGTATGTATATGAAGTAATTTTTCTTCAGCAAGCTTTCTTCTTCCACAGTGCAGAAATGTGCTGTACATCTTTCACAGCACATTTCACCAAAAGGGTTGGCAATTTTATGCATCACCCCAGTTCTTTATATATAAAAATATATTATTATAACCACATTTTAGTTTTTTGGGAGGTCAACCTTAAGAATACACTGTCATTAGAAAAATCAATCATTTTATATTTGATCTGAATATTTTGGTTAAATTATTAATATTAAATCTATTTGCCACATATCTTGCTTCTCTAGGCAGCTCACAACCATAAAAAGTGAAGAATTAAAAATGAAGTTTAAACAAAACAAAAGTAATAGAACAATAAATAGATAGCACAAGAAAACAAAGAAGAAGAAGAAAATACATCAATATGACTAGTTAAAAAAATAGCAACTGGTCGAAATAATTCAAAACATAATGCTCCCTCTTATTGCCATTATTATGGTTATCATTGTTCAACTGCTTTGCATATACTCTGAGAACTTCTGCACCAAAGACATCCTTGCATGTCTAATCCCACTTGGCCAAATAAAATATTCAAATCCATTCCATTCCTGGGAAAATCTCAGTTCAAATATCTAGTTTGCAACTTTCTGATAAAAATGTTATTGTCTGATAATATTAATCTATACCTTTGATATTAAATTTTATTTGGTTAATGTTCTGTTTTATATATATATGTTGTTTTCTAAATTTCACTGAAAGACCATCCTGGACGTTTTTAAGCTGGGCAGCAAACAAACCTATGGAAGTAAGATTTATTGTTCAACTATCTCCCTGATGGTTTTCTAGTTGTGATGCATTTGAAGCTTTCCTGGTTGTGTTTTATTATGTACTCTTTAAAAAAAAATCCTCTTTTTGGCATCTCTTTTCTACTTGCATCTCTTTGGTGGATATGTTGTTTTTATTTTGTGAAGGAAAAATTTCCTTCTCTAATAGCTTCCTTGGCACTATTGCCACTGCTTATTAACTACATTGATGAGCTGGTGGACTTGTTGAGACCTTTCCTGACCTGCAATATTCATCCTAGCTGAGTTTCTATTCGTGCAGTTTTTGAGTAACCCCAGATGCAGTGGAGACATTTGACCTTTTTGGCTTTAATCTCATTTTTGAGAAGTTTCCTTTTTCTGAAGTTAAAAGAAACTATTTTGGATTTACTTTGGCAATTTTCCACATAAATATACATTAAGTTTGATGAGGTTATGCTCATTCTTTCCAATTGATTCAACAACATTCCCATCTTATACAAGGTCAGAGGTGAGCAACCAGCAGGCCTCGGGGGCCTCTGGTGTCGCCCCTGTTTTGTCACTTGCCAGCCCTTTCCTGACTTACCGATACTGCAACTGCAGCTGATTTTCTGGAAAGCTCTTTTTGCAAGATCCAGTTTCCACAGAGTCCTATCCATACTGATACAAACAAGGCTTTACTTCTGTAATAAGAATATCCAATGGTCAGCATGTCTTGTTAAGGAAAACTGGCATTATAGCAATGGCTGCAGAACTGGTAAATCAGAAGCTGACACAGAAGTGGAAAGGAACAAGAAATCTTTAAATTTCCCCCCTAGCAATCTAAATTATATTGGGATCAAAAGAGGACAGGCTTCCAATAACTTCAAACATATAAACATTAAAAGCCTTCATATGGGGTTTGTTTGTTTGTTTGTTTTGCTTTTCTGTGAACCTCACTCAACAAACCCTATTAAAAAGACATAATACACAACACTCATCAACTCAGATATTAATTCAGTTGGACTCAATCTTCTTTCATCTAGGATACTACTATCAACTGCTCTTTGGAAAAGTTCCTAAAAGTTAGTTTTAAAATATTTACTGTGTATTTATGTACAATACATTTTAATGGGTTTTTTTTATTATGTTAAAAAATACATACATAAACCAACAGAACTTGAAAAGAAAAATGCTGTCTTTCTACCTTCTTCATTGCAACTACGTGGACTGAATATGTGGAAGCCCGATAGACTGCCAACATCAATTTGGGAATGGAATTGTAGCTTGAACAGCCATGTTGTGCAAAAATAACTAGTCTGTAAACGACTTGTGTGAGTGCATGTGTGTGGACATGCTTATGCTTAGGAACGAATACAACCTCTGTCCTATCATAATAGCAATAACACTTAGACTTATACACCGCTTCATGGTGCTTTACAGCCCTCTCAAAGCAGTTTACAGAATCAGCATATTGGCCTCAACAATCTGGGTCCTCATTTTTCAAACTTGGAGGGATGGAAGGCTCAATCAATTTTGAGCCATTCAGATTTGAACTCCTTGAGCCTGCAGTAATGCATTTTAACCATTGCACCTCTACGGCTCTACCAGTATCATATGTTGATCTTGAAATAAGCAAGTTTCCCATCCTGTACTAGGATGTTATGTCCAAGGTCACCTTCTCTATGGCCAGTTGTGTGTCTGCTATTTCAGGATACAGTAAGCCAGTGGTGGCTAACTTTTTTGGGCTCCTGTGCCAAAAATTGTGCACGTGCGCACGCACTCATGTGCCAGCATCCAGAATGCAATGTGTGCCCCCTCCCCACGCCCCCATACAATCCCCCCACCACCCCCTTATCTGCACTGCACCTCACAACTGAATTTGCCGTTGGTTTGAGGCCTTTTTTGGCCTCTCAGAGGCTTGGAAAAAGCCTCTGCAAGGCTTTTCAGGCCAAATTATCATCAACCAAAAAAAATCAGCTGTGAGGTGCGCACATGAGCAATAAGGTAAGTTTGCCTGTGGCTGGCGTGCCAGCACATATGGCTCTGTGTGCCACTTATGGCATGCATGCCATAGGTTCGCCATCACAGCAGTAAGTTTTATATGACATCTGACATGTATTTGATTTTGTTTTAATGGCAAGAATAATGGAAGAAGCAAATGAGGATTATGCTATGGGAGGAAGGTAAAGAAGCATGGAACTCAAACACTTTGTGATCCTTGTGTTGTGTAAATCATACTGTATAGGATTTAGTTACTCTTTTATTTAATCTTTGTATTTAATTTTCAGATTCACAGAATCATTTTGCAATGAAGCTTATATCATTGTATGAAAATTACAAAATACATTTCCAAGAATCAAGTTTCCATCACCAATGCAAACATACAAGCAATAAAAACATATGTCCGTATTAGATGTTCTGTTTACAAAATTTACCTTTAGGTTGGAAGAAAAACCAGCATCTTTTAAAAAAATGAATATGGTTCACTGCATGCAGCCCAAACTAAACAGGATAACATTTATCCAAGCAGAGAATACTTCGTGGAAATAAAAAGTATAGTTCATTTCAAATGAATACTTCATTTTAAACAAAAGGTTAAAAAAAGTGAATTTAGAGTTTGCTGTGTAGATCTAAAAATGGACCTGGGGTGGGCACAATGTTGTCACAGGGGATCCAGAATGCTTAAAGAAATGTTATGATTTAAATTTTGAGTTAAATTTTCAGGGTCCCTGGCCAGAAAAGGTTGAGAACCACTGAGCTAATACAAAGAAAGTTTGTTTCTTTGTTTAAAAGGGACTGTGGAAGTGCATAAACTCTTATTTCAGTGATTGGGAAAACAACAAAGCGTTCTTATGGTGTAATTACTGATTCCTAATAGCCCAGCCATTTACATTGCACTCTTGCACAGAAAGTTGCCCAGTGATTAAAAATTACTATCATTTGGTGCCTTGTTCTCAAACTTGCAATGAACGGATAATCTGCAACCCACAAAGAAGTAAAACCATATTTAGCTTCTGAGAAGAAATGAGGTTGGCAACAGTCATTCAATTCCTGGAATTTCAATACTCTTGGGCAATGCACTTTGCAATAGTGTTTAACTGGATATTTGAAGTTCCTTCGTATATGGTACCTGAAACAAATCATCAGGGGGAAAAAAATGAATCAAGGAGGCATTGAAAATTAAAGCGCTTTCAGCTTTACTTTACCACAAGGTAAACGAAAGGGAGACAATCAACTGTTGTTTGCCCTTTGTGTAGTCCAGACATGAAGCACAACCACAAATACAAGCTCTATCTTTATTATAAGCTTACATTAACATAATTTTGCAAGACTGAAAATATTTCTCCTCTATGTTCCTTTTACTCCCTGGAAAACTAGGGAGAGTCCCCTCTTGCTTCCCTCGTGGTTCTGAGAAATCTTCTACGTTCTGTTTGTCTAGTCAGCTCCTCCTCTTATCTCTCAATGTTATGCCCACAGGCGACTACATCCATATAAATGAAACTGCTATATTTATTTCAACGACCACCTGTATAAATGACAGTTCTCTGAAGTCAGGGATGCATTAATGAGTAAATCGTTTACCGATGAAACAATGATTGCATTTATTAGTGTTCTAAAGCATAACATGATATATTTGATTTTGATTAACCGTGTATCAGCTCAGCCATAAGCATGTTTTATAGCATTATGTGTGAACAGAACCATCATGGCTTATTTAACAAGGATATTAATTAATTAATTAAATGAGTGAAAGGAAGAAATATAGATACATTGTGTGTGAAATTAGGAAAAAGAGAACGGATGTAATTGAATTGAAGGAAAGTGGTATACACAGAACTGATGAGAATGTTCAGGGAAGTGAGACGATAAATAAATGTAAAGGCTAAAATGGATGTAATAAGAGTACTTGGTATGTTTACTACCTTGAGTTACTTATAAAGTAATAAAGGCAGGGTAAAAATCTAATGAATAATAAAATATATACACTTACACATGGATACAGAGGAAAGTTACTGTGAACTTTAACTACTACTCCTCTAAGAAAATTAGGCAGAAGAAATGTATCAGCTTTCGTTACCATATTTTCAACTCATCTATGCCACCCATCCCATTTTAAAGGTAAATTACTAAGGAAGATAATGAAGAATATGTTCTTCAGATAAATGAAGAATTTGCCTCTGAATATCTATTGGAAAACTCTTAAAATTAATGCTTTTTAAAAGCTTTGCCATAATTAAACTCTGAATTCAATACAATGCAACAAAGAAATGCATCATATATAACTTACCAATCTTGCAGTCCCTGTAATATTTTTCAACTGGATAATCTTTTGTGAAGCCAACTCCACCCATCCATTCAATGCATTTACTTGTTGTTAGCGCTGCAACCTTTAAGATATAAAAGAAGCCTGTTGTGAGGGTTTATGAACTGTTTGGTTTCTACTATTAACCATCCCTCTAATAAATATATTACAAAAGATACAAAACCTTAATCGAATAAAGCCATGCTAAGCTAATGATGCATAATTAAAGAGCTCTAAAGCTTATGGATCTCAAGTGGAAAACTGTAATTCTTTTGATCATTGCAGTTTATTTTAAAATATAATTTCCAGATAAGCTGAGCAGAATCTGACAATGAACTTTGATATTCATATGACCAAAAAATTAAATGGGGATGCTTAAACCAAATCAAACCAAACCTCTGAGCTCATGGCAGCCTGTGCTTTAATTTTATTTCAGAGATAACAAATCTGTATAGGGTTGGATTTACAGCCCTCTATAAGATAACGTTTGCAGTGATAGCATGCTCGAATTTCATATCTTACTTTAAGAGGGTCTATTAGCCACTGAAAGCCAATTTGGTGTAGTAGTTAAGGCATCAAGCTAAAAATTGTGAGTTCTAATCTTGCTTTTTGCACAAAGCCAATGTGGTGCCTTGAGCTAGTCACTTTTTTTCAGTCCTAAGAAGTAAGCAATGCAAACCACTCCCCTGCCCCCCAAAAAAACTTGCCAGAAAAACTGCAGGGAGTGTTCCAAGGGACCAAAAATATCTATAAAAAACCAAAACTCCACTCACTAGTCCTTTGGGACCGGAGCAGCATCTAAGTCATAGTTAGCAAATAAACCTACACATAATCAAAATGTATAATTTCTCTCTTTTAAAGTAGGAAATAATTTATTCTTTCATTTTTAAATAATCCTATAAAATGTATTTAAGGTTTCATTTTTCATCTTTCTTCTGCCCTCCCCTCTACATAGCTGACTGAAACAAAGAAATTTGAGACCGGAAAGAAACAATAATTCCCTTCAGTTCTGCTTAAAATTTAAACATAAAAAAAATAGAGACCTTACCTCTGCTGTGTAATATTTGGCCATGCTTGCTTGTTTTATAAATGGCTTCCCAGTTTCTGCAAATCGGGCTGCATTGTAGGTCAGCAACCTTGCAGCTTCAATCTGAATGGCTACTTGAGCAATCTGATGTTGTAGTCCCTTAGAAATAAAACTTTTATTGAAACATTGCCCTCAGGAAAAAAAATTCACAGCCATCAACAATACGTGGAGTTTTCAGTAGCATCCTTGCAATGCTTTACTCAATTATATAGTATATCTAATTGCTCTTGAAAGTGCTTAGTTATGAGTATGTAAATGTCAGTGGCCAGAATGGCCAAAATTGAATTAAAAACTAGACAAAGAAGGAGAAATCATTGTTGTCACTGTTGTTCTTCAAAATGAGTTACATATACTACTATTATGTACTACAACTGCTACCTGTATTGACAATGCAGATGAATTCTGTAATAATTTTGTCATGCCATATGAAATAATAAAAGGCAAACTATTTTCATCTGCAATGGTACTGACATTTTAGATATGTTGTTCAATTAAATACTTTGTGAGTATTATTTATTTTGCGTATGGCATATTAAATAGGGAGTAGCAATATATTACTTTATGGTAATTACTCAGTATTAGCTGCATTAGAATAGTAACAATATAGTACGGCTCATAATGTTTATTTCTATCAGTCATAATTATTTATATTTTATATTTATATCTCTTTTACAGAACATATCAATCAATACCTGAAAATCAAAAATGCTTTTTCCAAATTGGGTTCTTTCCTTTGTGTATGGGATAGTATGATCAAAACACCCCTGTGCTAATCCCAGCATCTGTGTGCAGATAAACAAGCATTAAAATTATTGCAAAACACTTTAATTCACACAGTGACTTAATTTCATAGCAACTATTGCAATAGGTTTATCACTAAATAGCGGTTCCTGAAGGGCTGGTAATTTAATCCTAGATTTGTTCATTCTAAAATAGGGCTGGCATGCTGTCCTAACATAGTCAACTAACATGATCCAGGGCCATGAAACATGGAAACTTTAATCCAGAAACATCTGGAAGCCATAAAATGCCTCCTGTTAAAAAAAGAAGTTACTCAAATGCAGAAAACCATATTATCATTGTCTTATTCTCACTAGGAAAATACTGCAGCAAAGAACAGATTACAGAATTATTTGCTTTACTCCAAATATTTGGATCAGTATTTTTGAAGGGAGGTCCTTCTGCAAAACGAAAGAAATCCATCTGCCAAATATGAGATTTCACAAAGAAATACAAATGTGGTGTAAGAATGATTAACTGTCTTTCTTCAGGAAAAAGTTACAAACCTTCAAAAGGAGTTTTCAGAACCGCTTATAGATATGTATAGGAATTTCCCCTTCTTATTCTATTTTAATTTGTACTAATTTTTCCTCTTGTTTCTAAAACTTTCAATACAATTATAATAAGAATAAAAATAATTCCTTTTTTTCATAATCTGCCATTTTTGGAAACAGACTGCATGTTCAAAAATAGATTGTAGTATGTGACAGTTGCCTGTAGTTCAAAGGAACAAAAAAAGGCAAAAAATCCAAGCTCGTGTTTTTGAGCATGCCTAAAATTATTCTTTGTACTATTTGGTATGGTCAACACTTTAATCCTAAGTATGCATTTTTTGGGAATGAACTGTCAGAACTGTTTCCATACTTATTGCTCTCATTCCAGCTTAACTGACTTTCTCATGCATCTGAGCTCTCTCTGCATGTTGTTATTGAGCTTCTGTTTTAGCTTAATATTGCAGGGGCAATTGTTCTCAGAATCAAAGGGGAACTCAAGTTCTACTTTTACTGTGATTTGCCCATCAAGACCAACTATTTTCAAATATATTCACCTGTGCAGCTATGCCAATTCTTCCCTGGTTCAGCATTCCAATAGCATACTTATAACCCTGACCAATCTGTCCCATTATGTTTCTTTCAGGAACCTATAAAAACAAAAACAAACAAAAGAAAACAAAGCATGATCAGCATCAACTCCTTTTTTGTTGCTGTCATTTCCAAAAGTCAAAAGGCCATTATTATGACACTGCATTCGGTTCTGGGAAAATCTAGTTTTACATTTTTTTAATGCATGTTTTAAAAATGAAGAAATTAAAAGCAGAGCAGAAAACCAAAAGGGTGCAGCTTTTGATATTCAGAAGTTTGCTTTAAGTTTGGGTCACTTATAAATTATGGCCATGTGCCTTCCAATTGATAACAGGTATTGATAAGATATTTAACATATTAGGCTATCGCCCATATACAAAATGCAAACCTGAAATACATCATTCTCTTTCCAAATTAATGGCTTCTATAACTTTAGCCTATAAGGCTTACCTCATAGAATTACAAACTCAAAACCAAATGCAACGCTGCTTTACAAATTTTATTCTACCTTCACATTTTCAAATGTTACAGGACATGTAGATGCTGCTCTGATTCCCAGTTTATCTTCTTTCTTTCCTACATGTAGGCCATCCGTATTACGGTCTACTATGAAACATGTAATTCCTTTATAGCCCTAAGGAAAAAAAAAGCAGATACAGTAACACATTAACCATGATGGAGACTTTATACCACATAAATACATTCCAACCCTTGCAAAACAATTCATACTCAAAGTTCCATTCAAATAAGTGGGTCCTTCTTTAGGCATCCATAGCTGGGGATTACTTTTTTCTACAAAGGTGATCCAACTGCAGTTCCTGCCATAACATTGCATTTTGTATCAAGACTTGCATGGATTCTCCATGCCAGAGCATCTATGTTAATATAATAAACAAGTGTCTGATTTGGCAACACGATGTCCATACTATTCCACACCACTTCTGGTCAATCTATACAGACACACATACATACCTCAAATGAAATACAAAGCTCCCAAATTTTGAGAGACTTCAATGTAAATTGCTTGTGGGCAATTTTAGGCAAAGAATCTGAAATTATGTAAGATTTTGTTTTATTAAATGAGATTCAACGAGGTATCTCTCGTGAGATTGGGCACTTTTATGAAACTTCAGCTGTATTAAAAATGTATGCTTGCTATTTTACAGCATGAGATTCTGTAACATACTCCTTGATAGATTAAGAAATTACCAGCATTTCATTTGAAGTAAACTTCTTTGAGAGCAAGATACTGACAGGTTTCCAAGTGATGAAATCCATTTAAAAAGAAAAGAACAAAGAAAACAGTGAAGCAAAGAAAAGAAAAGCGGGATTTTGTCTGCATTGCAATTGGATCACCTCTGCCTCCAAAGACAGTCCCTTCCTGAACAATCTTTTAGGCCACCTGAAAGTGGTCAAAACTCAGTGTAGTCACAAAGTACCAATACCTTATTTCCAAGCACAGTAGGCTTTGCTGGTCTGAATGAACAGGTCTCCTCAGATGAAGGGGAAAAAACCTCTCTGGAGGCAAAGATCACAATTTCTGCCCCTATTTGTCTGCTGAAATACAAGCAGTTTAACATGGGTGTCAAACTCGCCGCATCACATTGCCGTCACGTGACATATCGTGATGTTTTTCCCTTCGTGGAGCTGGGCGGTCTGTGTGTGACGCATTTGGCCCGCAGGCCGCCAGTTTGATACCCCTGCTCTATAAACTGAAGATTTATGTGAAAATGGCAATTAGAAAAGTTGGAATTATCCTATATTTTTAACCTTAGTATAACAATACGTGCACAATCACATTGCAGTGATTTTTAACTACTTACTGCTGAAGGGTTTGCATTTGCCATCACCAAGAACATCCCTGCTTGTTCTGCAAAGCTAATCCACATCTTTGATCCATTGATGATGTAATAATCCCCTTGCTTTTCAGCACGAGTCTTCATGGAGAAGGCATCACTACCAGCTTCTGGTTCAGAAATGCAGATGGCGCCCATCTACCATTTAACATAGAATTCAGCGGTCAGCTAATCCCACTGGACACTGAAAATGTAGGTTTGACAACGTAATCAGAGAAAACTTTCCTTTTATGGTGTTGGCCTTGAAAGGGGTCAAGACAATTTATAAAACACAGAGGCAAAAGCCTGGTTATTGCTGTATTGGCAAAATTAGCCATTGATATAATGAAAAAGGCAGGTAGTAAATCAAAACTGGGGGTGTCAAACTCAAGGCCCAGGGGCTTGATCTGGCCCTTGGGGTCTTAGATCTGGCCTGCAGGGTCATCCTGGAAACAGTGAGGGGCCGCCCCACAGTGCCTCTGCCAGTGAAAACAGAGCTTGGGAGGGCCGCATGCAGGGTTGCAGGAGACCGTCGCAGTCGAAAATGAAGCTTGGGAGCCCATTGTCTCTGGCAGAGTGCTCGGGCCACCACAGGCGCCCCTGACACAAGTAACGTTGAGCTGGCCGTGCCCACCCTGACCACACCTTCTCCAGCACACAGCCCCGAGGTCAAACACAACCCTGATGCGGCCCTCAACGAAATCGAGTTTGACATCCCTGATCAAGAGACATTTGACGAATTTTCTCATAACAATAGTTTTGAAAGATATGCTATTCAAATGTAATTAGTCATGCTACCTTTTCTATTTCACATCTATATTTACTGTATATTTGATCACTTCAAAGCTATTGATTTAAATGTGTGTAAAGATGCTCCCTTCTTGTATTTTTAAATATTCTTTTTAAAAATATATTGTTTTTTTTATGGTCTGTTTTTTATTGTACGCCATTCAGTCATGTTCATGAGATGGGCGGCTATATAAATGTGATACATTTAAAAAAATGAAATATTTAATAGTTTAATAAAATTTAAACTTTAAAAGTAACATTTCAGACTTTATAGCTTCCATCTTAAACCACAAGATTGACCTTGGTTTTCTAGCAGGGAAATACACTATAATTTCGAACTGCAAAATTTACAAGTATCTAAGACAGCAAAAGACCTAAGTAAGAGATTATGTTTTAAAACATAGAGATTTAATATCTAATAAATCAATAGCAACTCTATATACAGAAGGTAGTCCTCAATTTATGCCCATTCATTTAGCGAACATTCAAAGTTACAATAACACTGAAAAAAGTGACTTAGAATGGATCCTCACATTTACGAATACTGCAGCATTCCCCACAATCACATGATCAAAATTTGGATGATTGGCAATCTGCAAGTATGTATGACGGTTGCAGTGTACCGGGGTCATGTGATCAACATTTGCAACCTTTCCAGCTGGCCTCCAACAAGAAAAGTGAATGTAGAAAAAGCTAGATTCACTTAAACTGCAGTGTTTTGTTTAATGACCATGGCAAAGAAGGTCATAAAACTGGGTGAGACATACTTAATAACTGTCTTGCTTAGCAACAGAAATCTTGGCTCCAATTGTGATGCTATGTCGAGGACTACCTGTACAATTCCAACTGGGAGAATGTTAATATTAACTTGAACATCACGGTGTTTCAATGTAACCAGAATGGGGATTGGGATCTTAATTTCATAGTAATAGTGATAGTGACATTACTGCAAAGTTTGTAAATCCTTTTGTTTAACTTAGTCATCAATGTGCTTTACCTACCATGTCTTTTGCCAACCTGGGCAAATAGGTTCTCTTTTGTTCTTCTGTGCCATATGTTGTAAACATTTTATTAGTGAAAGTATTTTGGAGTTCGCACGCAAGTGATACAGATGGGTCGACTTTGGCTAACTCCTCAACTACCAGAATGGTAGAAAAAAAAGAAGATCCAGTTCCTCCATATTCTGCTTCAAGCTCAATACCCATTAACTAAGAAAAAAAAGAATAAACTTTTGTTATGGAGAAGAAAATTGTACAAGCTGAGATTGATACCCAAATGAACTTCCAAGTAATTCCAAAATTAGGGGTAATTACTTGGGATTGAATCTAGAAAGTCAATGGAATATTAGGCAGCAGATCTTGAAATCAGTGATATATAAACCACTCTTGTTGATTGTAAGATCTTTATTCTTACTAAAGAATAATCAAAATGCTTGTTGCATACTACTACACATGTATCTCCCCAATATATTTCCACTGAAATTTTTTTGCTAAATTGTCTCTCCTTTAAGCAGAAGATAAAAGAATAAAATCAACAGAAAAAAGTGAATGAAAACCAGCATTCTGTCCCAATGTTCACTTGGCAATTATCATAATTCATTTTTAGATTATGCTACTCTACAACAGACTATATTAGTGTAGCTAACAACTAACCAATATGCTGTACGTGCATAGAGCTTATACTGTATGAAACCTAGTTAAACTTGAAAAAGAAGCTTAAGTCATTTTAAGCATAAAAAATAAGATACAAACCCCTTGTTCAAATAGTCCTTGGAATAAAGAATCATCCATTTTTGCATCAGCATCCATTTTTTGTACTAATGGAGCAACTTGTTCTTGAGCAAATTTTTTTACTAGAAAAAATAAACAAGGATATTATATACACACAGACATACACTATATATACATACATACGTACATACATACATACATATACATATACATACATATAAACAGCAGGCTAACTGACTGCCAGTAGACTGCACACACTTCCAAGCTGAGGGATACAAGCAACAATATATTGGCTTGTAAGGTAATCTCTAGATTAAAGAACCTAGCTTATGAAAAGCAGTGCTAGAAGAACTGAATGTGTTGCACTCATATTATTAGCATATTTTTAGTATAAACAACCCAGTGTTCTGTCCTCCATAGACTACTATTTGCACAATGCCCAGATAGGAGAAAATATTTCACAAATGAACACATTTACAAACTACTATAAATACTGGATTTGGGGTATTTCTGTATTATAATTTATAATTTTTTAAAATCAAACTTCCGTCATTGAGGTTCTGCAAAATCTAATCTTATTACTGTTGTATCAGCACAGCAACCGTTGAATGATTTTAGAGGATGTTTAAATCACTAGTGAGGATCCTCCCAAATTTTTAGAGGATTTTGCTGAAAGAATTTGAATCTGTTTGATTAACTAGACACATTACCTGATTGTTTAATCATTAACTCTTCTTCTGTAAATGTCTGAAGTGGAGCACAAGTTAATCCTTCTTTGACTATGTGTGGTAAAGCTTCTGATTTGAAAGATTTAGAGAGACAAGGATGAGCCATCCAATGATTTATGCAGAACGGCATATTCCACCTTGGCTATGGACAAAAATATTTTAATATAAAGAAAAAAAGAAAATACTTAAGCGTTAAGATTAGATTCAGAAAATGACAATTCAAAAATAATCTGTACTTCTTTGTTCTACATGGCTGTAGTGTGTGTGTGTGTGTGTGTGTGTGTCTGTATATGCTATATATATATATATATATATATATATATATTTGTTTTCTGAGGTTCTCGCGGGTATTTATATGTGGATCTTTGGTTGTTCGGG